TCTTCCTCAGCATCTTCTCTGGAATCTTTGCCCTCATCCCTCAGGATCTTCACCAGGGATGTGGAATCTTCTTTGGCATCTCCCCCCCCATCCCTGGGCATCTTCTCTGGCATCTTTGCCCGGATCCTTTGGCACCTTCCCCAAGGTTTTGGCATTTTCCTTGGCACCTTCCTTGGCTTTTTATCCAGCATCTTCCTCAGCATCCCTTGGCATCTCCTCTGGCATCTTCTCTGGCAATCCCTTGGCATCTCCACTGGAGTTCTGGCATCTTCCTTGGCATCTTTGTCACATTCCTGGGCATCTTCTCTGGCATCTTTGCCCGGATCCTTCAGCATTTTCACCTGGATCCCTCGGCCTCTTCCTTGACATCCCTCGGGATCTTCCCCCACATCCCTCGCTTTATTCCTTGGCACATTCCTTGACATCCCTCAGCCTCTGCTCCGGCATATTCGCTGTCATCCCTTCCTGCATTCCCTGCAATCCCAGGGCACATTCCCAGGAATCCCTGTCCATCCTCTCCCTGCCCTCACTGCTCTGGCCCGGGTGCTGCCGAGGCCGCTCCTCTTCCACCCCCAAACCTCAGGAACAGGGGGTTTTTAGGGAATGGGGTGGGGGTGGCTCCCAGTGACTCTGGTGGCTCCTCCTCGGGCTGGAAGGAGTTAAAATTCCATGGGAGGGAAGGAGCTTCCATGAATGAAGACAAAGTTTGGCGGGGGGCCAGGGGTGGGGGCGGGGAACCAGAGCACCCAAAAACCGGGAATATCCCCCCAATTCCCCCCTCCCCGAACCCGGCTCCAGTTCCGCGGCCGGAGGTGCCAAAAACCGGATCCGACCGGATCGGATTTTTTTTTCCTTTTTTTTTTATTCCCTTTTTTTTCCCCTTCTCTTTTTCCCTTTCCCGCGAGGGCTGATGGGAAGCAGTCCGTCAGCATCCCCCTTTTCTTTTGTTTAATATCTCCAACGGCGCATGATTGGCAGGGAAGGGCCCGCTCGGAGCCGCTCCGGCTCCGGCTCCGGCCACGCTCCGCAGGGGGATGGATCCCTCTCCTTCCCGACCCCTGGCTCCTCCTGCCCCTTCCCGCTGCTCTCCCCCCGCTCCCAGCCTTAATTTTCCTGCCAACTGGAGCCAGCAGCGGGAATCTTGGACCTGTGAGTATCCCCAAGCCCATCCCGGGGTTATCGGGAATGTTGGGAATGGGAGACACACAAAAGGCTCCTCACGGATGGGCTTTCCCGCTGGTTTTGCTGGCTGGGAATGTTTTAAGGGGATGTTTTAAGGGGATGTTTTAAGGTTGGATTTGCTGCCGGAGTCGTGGTTCCCTTTCCCCGCTTCCAGCCCCCCCCCCTTTTCCCACCTCATCCCTGCTCCCAACCATCGCTATTCCGGAGTGATCAGATCCCGCCCTGACTGCAGGAATGGGGGAAAAGACAGGGAATGAGGATGCTTGGGATGGGTTTTCTGGCGGGTTGGTGTCCCATTATTGGGATCATGGATGGGATGGGGGGGGTCAATGGCTCTGAGGTCGGATCCGGAGCGGCTGCACAAAGGCGGCTCCGCAGTCGAGGAAATCGGGAAGGGTTATATAAGGAAGCCTGGGAAGTTTGCGTCATCCCGGATGGGGAGGGGGCCCAGGGGCCAGAGCCGGGCGCTCCCTCCCCTCCCCCCCCGCCATTCCCATCGTTTTCCATCACTTTTTATTCTCCTGGAGCATTTTCTGGCTGTTTTGCCCCCAAAATTTGGCCAATTCCCAGGAATTTTTAGCTGGTTTTTAGGTCTTCCCCCCCCCCCCATTTGAGGGCTTTTGGAATTCCCACATCCCAAAAATGCCGGGATGGGGTGAGGGGTGAGGCCTCTGGAGCCGGACATGGAGCCAGGATTCCCTGCTCCCAATAAATGGAGCTGGGTAAAAACCCCAAATTTGGGAGGGAAGAGGGAAAGAAGCACTTTTTGGGAAGGGAGAATTTTCCTCCTTTCCCACTTTTCCTGCTTCCCATCGTTAGGTTTGGACTTGACCTGGAGCTGCAGAATCCAGGGACTGGGCCAGCAGTGGTATCTGGAATCTGAGGGATCCAAGGCATCCAGGATCTGAGAGATTCAGGATCTGGGAATTCTGGCATCTTGGAATCTGAAGGGTGGAAAATCCAGGATCTGGGAGTTCCAGGGTCTGGAAAATCCAGGATCTGGGAGTTCTGGTGTCTTGGAATCTGAAGGGTGGAAAATCCAGGATCTGGGAGATCTGGAATCCAGGGGATCCAGGGCCTGGGATATCGGGAGTCGGAAATCCAGGCTCTGGAGATCCAGGATGTGGGAGATCCGAGGTCTGGGCCCAGAGTGTCGGAGCAGGGCCAGGTGTTCCCCCCATTGGGATCCAGGAATGGGAAGAGCAGAGCCCCTGGAGCCATTTGCTCCAGAGGAATTCCCGTTCTGCCACATCCCAGCCAGCCTTCCATGCATCTTCCCAAATCCTTTCCCTTATTCCCTCATTCTCTTCCCCTCATGCATCTGCAGGACCAGGAGCAGCTGCTCCCCCCGGATCCCAGGATGGCTCCATCCCGCTCCGAGGCCGTTTCTAAGGGCTTTTCAGGGATTTTCCCTTTGTTTGTGTTGTTTTAAATCCTGGAGCTCCTGGAGAAGAACCTCTGGGATCCACCCTCAGACTCCCTCACCTGCCTCAGAATTCCTGCCCAGAGCCGGAACCAGGTGTTTCTCCAGGTTTCTGGACCCCACCTGGAGCTGTGGGATCCGGAGCAGTTTTCTTTCCGTCCTGGAGTTTTCCTCCCTTCCCTTCCCTTCCCTTCCCTTCCCGTTGGATTCCTGCGGATCTGGCTCCGGCCGCGGAGCCGTTAAATCCTAATTACCTTTTTAGGTTGTTATCCTTTTCCTGCCGTTCCTTGGGAATGCTCGCCCTGGGAATCAGCCATTTTGTGCTCCGTGTCGGAACGCGCTTCCTGGTGCCGGGATGTGCCGATCCCGCATGGAATCGGGAGCAGCTCCTGGGCAGCTCTGGGCTCCGCATTCCAGCCGGACAGCTCCGGATGAGGAGCCAACTCCACAGATTTCCCACGGGATCAGAGCAGTTTTCTGTGGGATTTGGGGGGTTTTGGGGCAGCAGGAATGTGCCCAGGGGAGTTGGATGAGTTGGATCCCATCCCTGATCCTGGGAAAATGGGGCTTTAAATGGCTTTCTATCCCATAAATATCAGGATTTTTTAACATCTGAATGGGGCCATTGAGCAACTCCTGGATCCAAATCCCTGGATTTGGAGGGACAGGGGTGATGATTCAACCTCTTGGAACACTTTGGATCCAACCTGGATGTGCCAGGGGGGCATCAGGTCCCACTCAACATCCCAGATAACGTGGAATGTTGGATTTGGATGTTGATTCCTGACCTGCCAGGTCTCTCCTGGGATTGATTCGGGAATTCCAGCCCCAAATAGTTGGGAATTGGAGGGTATATCCATGTTGCCTCCTGGGTTTATTCCCACTGAGAATTCCGGGCAGGAGCAGGGACCAGGACTTGGGTGGTGAATGAGAGACTCCCGGGATATGCTGGGATGGTGTTCCTGGTGCTCAGGAAGGAATCCTTGGAGCTGAATTCCCAATGCTCCACCCTCCCAGTGTCCCTTCTTCCTCGTGCTGGATCAGAGATCCGGGAGAAGGAGCTGGAATGTTGTTGGGCAGTCAGGATCCCTGTGCTTGGGAAGAGCAGGAATTTCCCTTCCAAGGGAATATCCAAGGGCTCGGGATGCTCCAGGAAGCTGCTGCAGGTGTATTTTCCTGGGAATACTGGAATTCTGGGCTGGTTTATTTGTGATTTCCCACTCTTGCTCCCTTGGAGCAAGATCTTGGGATCCACCTTGGCTCTTCCAGGGCTGCTGGAATTCCCAGTGCTGCTGGAGCAGAGTCAGGAAAACAGGGAGACCTGGAGTCACTGGGACCACATGGATCCCTCGTGGTGGATCAGGGGTCATCCTAGGTGGATCAGGGATCATTCCTGGTGGGTCAGGGATCATCCCAGGGGTGGATCAGGGATTACAGCTCCTCCATTGGCTCCGGAGGGTCCGAGGCCAGGAATAGGGGCTGGAAGACCAATGTGGAGATTGACTCAATGGAAAAGCCTCTGGGAAGGGACTGGAGCCTTGTGGGGCTTCCCTGGAAAAACTCCATCTGGAATTAACTCCTGGTGCTGCCAACTTTCGGTTCTGGATCCCATTGGATAAACCCCAGGATATTCTCCATCCTGGTCGCATCTCTCCCTGGATATTCTCCCTTTTCCACTGGAATATCCCTGGTTTTGACCCAACTCGTCCCGGCCTTTCCAATCCTCCTGTTGGCATTTTTTTGGTTGGATGTTTTCCCTGTGGGAGCCGGATCTAATATCCATGGAAAACGGGGAGCTGCTTTGTTTGTCTGGGAATGCCAAACCTGTCCTGCCAGGCGAGAGAAGCGCCCAGAGCCAATGGAACGCGTCAGGGAGCGCATGGAGCAGGAGCCACAATCCCCCGGAAAACTGGGAATTGCCACTGGGACGACGTTGTCCGGCAGACTGGGATTCCTGGAAAGCATTCCAAGGTCAACCCTTGCTGCTCATCCCACCCTGGCAGCCTCTGGAATCTCGGCTCTACTCCGGCCCCAGGATCCTGTTTCCAGGACAGTGTTCCTGGGACAATCCCAGTTGGAGGCGCCGCATGGATTTGGCTCCTGTTTTCCCTGGGTTTTGCCACCATTTGGGAATTCCGTTCCAGGGATGATGGTTGTTTAAAGTGGAGTGGAGGGAGAGGCAGCTCCTGTTCCCTGGGATGTGCTGATTCCCGGGAGCAGGGCCGGAGGCAGCGGGGCCGGATGAGCCGGTTTGGGATGTGCCGGGACCGGAGTGGGGCCTGAACTTCCCACTGTCCCGGCTCCAGAGCTGCTGGATCCCTGGGATTGGAATAACTCCTGCTCCTCGCTGCTGAGTATTGGATGGAATTGAGGGCTTTCCTGTGGCTTTCCCACTGGAAATTCCTGGTGGATCCTCCCCTGCCCCCTCCAGCCGAGGGGCCTCGTTTGATCTGGAATCCAAAGCCTCATTGACTTTTTATTGGATCTGGCTGAGCCTGGAAAACCTCTGGAGCAGATTAAACACCGGTGGGCCCCGTTCCTGGTAACGGCACCTTGGATTTGTTTGGAAAACCGGAGGGAAGGGCCTTGGGAATCCTTGGAGCCCTCAGTTTATATCCCTGTGAGTGGGAGCTGCATCCATGGGCTGCTCCGGCCTTCCCCCTCTTCCCTCTGGCTCAGGGATTTCAGTGCTCCTGGAATCCCTGGGGCTTGTTCCCAGTTTTTCCCTCTGCATCCCAAAATGGTGTTTCTGTAACTTTCCAAAGCTGGAATGTCACTAGGATACTGGGATGCTGGAGAGGGATGTGGGAATGCTAGGCAGCATGGGGATCCTCAGGAATGTGGGGATGCTCAGGGATTTGGGAATGCTGGGGGCTGTGGGATCCTCAGGAGTGCAGGGGGATGTGGGAATGCTGAATTCTGGGATATTTGGGAACATGGGGATGCTCAGGAATGCTGGGGGATGCGGGAATGCTCAGGGATTTGGGAATGCTGGGGATGTGGCACCTCCCTGGCACTGGAGCCCCCATTTGTGGTGGGACCGGGGGAACTCTGGAATTCCCGCAGGAAGAGGAGGCAGCAGGATCCCTCCATCCATGGGGAAGATGGGCAGGAGGTTGGATCTGCTTCCACATCTCCCTGCTGGGTCTGGAGATCCACTCCTGGATCCACTCTGGGATCTGCTCCTGGATCCACACTGGGATCCGCTTCTGGATCCATTCCTTGTTCTCCACTCTTGGATCCACTCTGGGATCCCCATCTCGATCCACTCCTGGATCCATTCCTAGATCCACTCTGGGATCCCCTTCTGGATCCATTCCTTAATCTCCACTCTGGGATCCACTCTGGGATCTCCACTTGGATCCGCTCCTGGATCCATCCTAGGATCCACTTCTGGATCTCCCTGCTGGGTCCTGGCCGTGCTCAGGTGTCTGCGGGGAGCTCCCCATGTTATTCCCAGCAGGAATCCCGTGGGATGCCGTTCCCATGAGGCCCTTTCGAACCTCTCCTGACTCCTCCTGCTCCTCCATGACTCCAGAGAGCGCGTTCCCGGCCAAGCTCCGGGATGCTGGCGCGTTCCCAGCGGAGCAGCCTCAGCGCCGGGCGCGGCTCCGGGCGCTCCCGGCTGTCTGGGCCATCCCAGCTCCCGCTTCCCCCCGGGGTCATTCCTGTGGGACAGGGGGAGGGGCGGCTCCGAGGCCTGTTCGGACCTGCCGGGCTAAATTTGGGAGCAGGAGACGTGCGGGAGCCGGGATGGGCAGGTGGGAAGAGCCCCAGGTGTTCTCCCGGAGGCTCCTTCCGGCTTTTACTCGGGATTTGGGATTTCCATTGGTTTTCCCACCCCCATGTTCCAAGAGTGAGGTGTCTCTGTGCCTCTGGAAGCTGAGCCTGTGTCCCAGCCCTGTGTCATTCCAGGGATTTACACCTGAGCCACGGCCTTTTCCTAGCAGAACTTTGGCTCGGGGAAGGTTTATCCTGGGAATGACCCGAGGTGGGTGTGGAGCAGCTCCAGGGGCCGAGATCCAGCCGCTCAGGACATGGACACTTCACATTCCCTGCAGAGCCAGTGAAGCTCCCGGCGTTCCCGAACCAACCACGTGGAATTCCCACCCATTCCCGAGGTGTTTGTCTCGGTCCCTGGCTCTGCTCCGCAGGGAAAGGCCTCACCCGGCTGGTTCCTTATCAGCCTGGGAGTGGGATTGGGCTGGAATGGGCTCCGGGGCTGGGATGGGGTTGGGATGAGCTCCGGGGTTGGGATGGGGCCGGAATTGGCTCTGGGGTTGGGATGGGCTCCGTGGCTCCTGCCTGTTTTCCACAGGGCATTCCTGCACCTGGAGCCGGAGTGGGAACACGGAGAGGTAGGTGGATGGGATGGACCTGCTTGCACCTCCGTCCTCCTGGAAAACCTCGTGGTGGGGGATTTCCCGAATCCAGAGGCTTCCATGGGATTCATTCCGGCTCCCCTTCCTTGCCAAGTTGCATCTATGGGGTTTGAATCCTGAGGGATTGTGCCGCCGTTCTCTGGGATCTGGGGAACTCCTGCTCTTCAGGATCCTTCCAGGATCCTTCCTGACTTGTTTGGCATTGAGAGGTCCCAGGGAGGTTGAAGCTCCATGAGGAGATTTGAGCCCCATGAGGAAGTTGGAGCTCCATGGGGAGTTTGGTGCTCCCTGAGGAGATTTGAGCTCCATAAAGAGGTCAGAGTTCTGTGAGATTGGAGCTCCCTGAGGAGGTTGGAGCTCCTGAGGAGGTTGGAGCTCCGTGGGGTTGGAGCTCTGTGAGGAGGTTGGAGCTCTGTGAGGTTGGAGCTCCATGAGGAGATTGGAGCTCCGTGAGGAGGCCGGAGCTCTCCAAGGAAGTCAGAGCTCTCCAAGGCTGGAGTTGGGCTCAGAGTGAACCCTGGGGGGGTTCACTGGGATCCACCACATCCAGGACACTGCCGGTGTCCCTGTCCCTCCTCTTTCCCCCATCCCTGACCACGTCCCTGTCCCTCTCCTGTCCCTTTTCCCTGCCTGTGTCCCTGTCTTGGTCCCTGACGTGTCTTTGTCCCTGTCCCTGTCCCATTCCCTGTCCCTGCCCGTGTCCTTGTGCCATTCCCCATCCCACTCCGCTCCCGGCTGACGGTGCTGTGTCCATGTCCAGGATGGAGCGGATGACGGAGGACGCGCTGCGGCTGAACCTGCTCAAGCGGGGCCTGGAGACGGGGCCGGAGGAGCGCGAGGACGTCCTGGCCAAGCGGCTGAAGATGGAGGGCCACGAGGCCATGGAGCGGCTCAAGATGCTCGCCCTGCTCAAGAGGAAGGACCTGGCGGGGCTGGAGGTGCCCCACGAGCTCCCAGGAAAGCCCGACGGGATCAAGGGCTACGAGGAGAAGCTCAACGGGAGCCTGAGGCCCCACGGGGACGGGAGGGGCTCAACCCGGCCCGGCAAGGAGAACATCAACGACGAGCCCGTGGACATGAGCGCCAGGAGGAGGTGGGTGTGGGAATGCTGGGATGGGAGTGGGAATGCCGGGATGGGAGCAGCCAGGAGGAGGTCGGTGCGGGGATGCTGGGATGAGAGAGGTGAAAGAAACCTGGTCAGGGATTAAATGGGATTTGGGGGGTCTGGTAGATCCGATTCCAGTGGATAAAGGGGCTCCAAGAGCTGGAGAGGGACGTGGGAATGGTGGGATAAGAGGCAAATGGGTTCATGTGGACAGTTTGGTTAAGTGGGATGTCGGAAAGCAGTTGGGAATGTGGGAATTGGGAATTCTTTCTTGTGTAGGGGGTGGCACAGGTTATCCAGGGGATTTGTGGGTTCTTCATCCCTGGAAGTGTCCAAGGCCAGGTTGGACAGGACTTGGAGCAGCCCGGTCTATGGAAGGTGTCCCTGGTCCGAGTGCGGAGTCCATGGGCTGCGTCCCTGGAATTCCATGGATGTTGTGCGAGATGAAGGGAATCCAGTTGGGCACCAGCACCAGACACTTGGATCAGGGGTCAGCCCTGGAAGGAGGTGGGAATATCCCACTCTAAGTTCGGAAATCATTGTGAAGTTTCATGGGGGGTGTCTCATTTCCCTGGATTTTCCCTGGAAATGTGCTCCACATCTTCCCACCTCCCTCGCCGTAGCTCCTGTTCCAGTGGTTCCCTTGGAATTCTGCTCTTTCCTGGACAAAGGAAATCCGGTGATTCCTTGTGGATTTTCCTGTTGGATTTGGACTTTGGCTTTGTGTTACTCCCTCAATGGAATGTAAATAATCCAACCTGGATTTATCCGGATGCTCCTGCAAAATCATCCCTGCCAGCTGTGGGGAAAATCCTGGACCAGGATCCGCTGCTGGATCTCTCTTGTTTGAAACTCCTGGGATGCAGTTTGGATTGCTTGGATGGGCTCCTGCTGGATCCATCTCCATGGGATGCTCTGGACCTTCTCTGCTGGAGAAGGGGCAGCTCCAGTGCTTTGGAATATCCACAGAAACAGCTGGAATGTTTGGGTGACGAAGATATGGAATGTTTGGGCCCCCTCTGAGCATCTTCAGAGCAACTAAATCTGGGATCGGGCTCCATGTTTCCTCCTGGGTGTTTGGAGCTGAGAGTTTGGGATGTGGTATTCCATGATTTCCTCACTCCAAGGACCTTCCAGGGAGCTGGGGCACGACAATCCCGGCTGCTTCCATGGCTCCACACTGGATTATTCCACAGTTTTCCAAGGCTCTCCAGCATGAAGACATGAAATCTGCATCTCCTTCCCGGGGATAATCCCTGGATCCCAACATTGGCTTTTAGTTCAGTCTTTCTTTTCCCAGCTGCTCCTTTTGTTTTCTGATTCCCTCACAGATCCATTGGATATTTACTCGGATTTTCCTTTAGGGACTGTGCTTTTCCAATAGATTTGACCTGGGATAGGCTTGGAATGATGGCATTACCGGGAGGGCTTGTCCCCTTCTCCCTACACCGTGGTGAGGATGAGCCATTCCAGGCTGGAACATCCCAGAGTCTGGATTAGAATCTGCATTATTCCCAATTCCCAGGTGGGATTTGCCCACCTGGAGCTTCCCCCTCTCCCCTGCCAGGGTGGTTTGGAGGGATTGGACTCCCTGGGGGGGTGGGGCCATGTTCCAGCCGGGATCTGTGTGGATTGAGGGGTGGTCCCGGTGCAGGATTCCTGCTTTCCCGGCTCATCCCGGTGTGTTCCTGCAGTGACCCGGAGCGGGGCCGCCTGACGCCATCTCCAGACATCATCGTGCTGTCGGACAACGAGGCCTCCAGCCCCCGCTCCAGCTCCCGCATGGAGGAGCGGCTCAAGGCCGCCAACCTGGAGATGTTCAAGGTGAGGGAGCCCGGAATTCCGGTGGCTTTGGGCCCTCCCAGCAACTTCCCGGCACAACCACCCGCTTCCTGCTCCCAAATCCTCCCAAATGATCCAAATTCCCACTCGGGTTGAGCTTCCTTCTGGTCTTTCCCTCACATTTTCCCGGTGTTCCTGGTTTTTCCAGGGGAAGAGCCTGGAGGAGCGGCAGCAGCTGATCAAGCAGCTCCGGGATGAGCTGCGGCTGGAGGAGGCCCGACTGGTGCTCCTGAAGAAGCTGCGACAGAGCCAACTCCAGAAGGAGAATGTGGTCCAAAAGGTGAGGCTTGGGATGGGAGGGATAACGGGAAGGACCACGCGTGGCACATCCCGTGGGAAATCCCCCAAATCTGCGGCCCCGGCACAGCTGGGAACACAAACCTGTGGTGCTCAGCATCACAACTCGTGGAATTCCGTCTCTCCGGGGGCTGATCCCGGCTCTCCCCCCCATTCCCGATCCAGACCCCTGTTGTCCAGAACGCTGCCTCCATTGTGCAGCCATCGCCGGCCCACGTGGGGCAGCAGGGCCTGTCCAAGATCCCGGCCCGGCCCGGAGCCCAGGGTGTGGAGCCACAGAACTTAAGGACACTGCAGGTGAGCGTTCCCCCTTTTCCCTGGAAAACACCCACTCTGCTGGATGCACACCCAGCTGAGATCCCTTCTCCAGGAGGCAGAGGAGTTCTGGCATTTCCCAATGCCAGGAGTTGGGGTTTGGGGTTGTGCTGGGTGGGAATTAGACCCCACGATCCTTGTGGATCCAGCTTGATATTCCATGATTCCTTAAATATCCAGTGTCCCTATTGGAATGGGGTGAGGACATTGCCTCTGCCTATAGCCTTCCTGCTTTTCCCAAAGGATTCACATTCTAGCCTTATTTTTGTGTTATTTAGTTTGCTGTTTAGGGAGTCCAAGGAGCATTTGCACAACAGGATTGTTGGGATTGTCCTGTGTCCGTCTCTTCCCACTAAGCCACCTGGCTCTGGAAAGTGGTTTCTCCACATATTCCTGCCCCTTTCCTTGACTCCAGAGCAATTCCAGCCTCTCCATGGAAAATTGTTGGCTCGAGCCGTTCTCCCTCCAGAAGGGCCACAGTCATTTAAAATGAAGGCAAATTTGAGGGAAAAGTGAAGGATTTTAAGCATTAGGAGTTAACTGGGATTCTGGGTAAGCGGGAATTCCCTGGATCACAGAATTAAAGCTCCAGGTTTGCCTCAAATCCTTTATTTTTATCCTATTTTATTTATTTCACTGACTCCAAGGAGTGTTTACCCAACTGGATTGTTGGGGTTGTCCTGTGTCCACCTCCCTCCAAAATGGCCACAATTATTTAAAATCAAGGATAATTTTGGAAAAAGAGAAGGATTTTGAATCTTAGGAATTATGGATAAGCGGGAATCCCCTGGATGAGAGAATTAAAGCTCCAGGTTTGCCTCAAATCCCTTATTTTATTTATTTTACTGAGCCCAGTGGAATCGTTGGGTTGTCTCGTGTCAATCCAAGAGTTGGACCCACCATCCCTGTGGGTGTGTCCCATGATTCCCAGTGAATCCCAGTGATCCCCAGTGATTCCCAGTGATCCCCAGTGACCCGTGGCTCTCTCCCTGATCTCCCAGGGGCACTCGGTGATCCGCTCGGCCGCCAGCTCGGCGCTGCCCCACATGTTGATGTCCCAGCGCGTCATTGCCCCCAACCCGGCGCAGCTCCAGGGGCAGCGGCTGCCGCAGAAACCCGGCCTGGTGCGGAGCAACACCCCCAGCATGACCCCCACCATCAACTACCAGCCGGTGCGTGGGATGGGCACCAGCAGGAGCTGGGCTGGGATGAGTTGGTGTGGGTTGGGATGGTTTGGAGAAAGCTGGGATGGTTTGGAGAGGGTTGGATTGGGTTGGGATGGTTTGGGATGGCTTGAGATGGTTTGGAGTGGTTGGACTGCTGTCTCTGCAGCGGTCCAGCCCCGTTATTCCGCTGTTCTCCCCTCTGATCCCACTGTTCTCCCTGTCCCCGCAGCAGTCCGGCTCGTCGGTGCCGTGCCAGCGCTCCTCGTCCTCTGCCATCTACATGAACCTCGCATCCCACCTCCCATCGGGCTCCGTGGCCCGCGTGTCGTCGCCGCTGCCGAGCCCCAGCGCTCTGTCCGACGCCGCCAATTCCCAGGCGGCCGCCAAGCTCGCGCTCCGGAAGCAGCTGGAAAAGACACTCCTGGAGATCCCGCCACCCAAGCCGCCGGCGCCGCTGCTGCACTTCCTGCCCAGCGCCGCCAACTCCGAGTTCATCTACATGGTGGGGCTGGAGGAGGTGGTGCAGAGCGTCATCGACAGCCAGGGTGTGTGTTCCCGCCGGATTTTCCTAAAAAAAGTGGGAGTCTAGGGTGGTGCGGGGTGAAATCGGGGGTTTTTAGCCCGGATTTGGGGGTTTCCTGGGGGCTCTCCTGTTGCTCTGACTACTTTGCCCGGTGGGGCTGGAGGAGGTGGTAACAGCCAAGGTGGGTGTTCCCAGGGAATTCCTGGGAAAACAGGGAATTTGGGAAGGGAAGGGTCAGGGCAGAGTCTGGGGTTTCAGTGTGAAATTTCAGGATTCTGGGATTGATTTGGAGGATTTCAGGCAAAACTTGTGGGATTTCAGGCCAAATCGTGTATGATACCAGGCTCTGTGTAGAGCCGTTGGTGTGCAGGCAGGGGGTTATCCCGGTATCCCATGATCCCTGTGCCATTCCAGGGAAGAGCTGCCCGGTGTCCCTGCGTGTGGAGCCCTTCGTGTGCGGGCAGTGCCGCACGGATTTCACGCCACACTGGAAGCAGGAGAAGGGCGGGCGCATCCTGTGCGAGCAGTGCCAGACGTCCAACCAGAAGAAGGCCCTGAAGGCCGAGCACACGAACCGCCTCAAGAACGCCTTCGTCAAGGCCCTGCAGCAGGAGCAGGTCAGGCCCGGGATGCACCGGAGCTGGGGGAGAACAGGGATCTGCAGTGGGAGCGCTGACACACCCGGCCCAGCCCATTCCAAAGCGCCCATCCCATCCCAAACCACTTGCCCATCCCATCCCGCTCATCCCATCCCATCTTGCTAGCCCCATCCTATCCCTTTCCAGTTTTCCCTTGGGAAGCCTCTTACCCACTCGCTGGCTTGTTTTCGGATGGGGAATCTGCTGCATTAATAATAATCCATCTGGGATAAATGGGATAAAACTCAATCTGAGATGGAATCCAGGTGCTGGGTGCGGGAGGTGTCTTGGAAAGGGGCAGGGTCCCATTCCGGGTGGGAATGTGACGGGCTGGGCATTCCCTGGCACAGGAGATCGAGCAGCGGCTCCAGCAGCAGGCGGCCCTGTCCCCCACGGCTGCTCCTGCCGTTCCCAGCGTTGGGAAACAGGACGGGATCCTGCGGCACCACACGCTCCGGCAGGTGGGAACGGCATGGGAATGGGGGGTGGGATGAGCAAGAGGGGATGGGGAGAGGGGAGGGCATAGGATGGGGTGGGATGGGATGGCATGGCATGGCATCATTGGGAGTGGACAGACTGGGATGATGGGGGTGCCCCACTGTCCCACTCCCCCATTCCGGGTGGTCCGGGAGCCCCCCAGTGTATCCATGTCCGTGTCCTGTCCCCCCAGGCCCCGCAGCCCCAGAGCAGCCTCCAGCGCGGAATTCCCACCTCCGCCCGCTCCATGCTCTCCAACTTCGCCCAGGCCCCGCAGCTTTCCGTGGCCGGGGGACTCCTCGGGATGCCAGGTACGGACCCTCCCAGGGACAGGGGTGGGATGGAATGGGATGAGTGGGATGGGATGGGATGGGATGGCACGATGGAAGGGGATGAGCAGGATGGGCTGAGCAGGATGGGATGGGATGGGCTGAGCAGGATGGGATCAGACAGGCCCTGCTGTGCCCCTTGGATTGCCGAGCCAGCTTTGGAAATTCCCACCGTGCTCCTGCCCCCCCGATCCCAAGGAGAGGGGGTGGGTTTTGGCACGCTCCGGCTCCAGGGTGCCGAGGGTCCGTGTCCCGCAGGGGTGAACATCGCCTACCTGAACGCCGGGATCGGCGGCCACAAAGCGTCGAGCCTGGCGGACCGGCAGCGGGAATACCTGCTGGATATGATCCCGCCCCGCTCCATATCCCAGGCCATCAGCGGACAGAAATAGCGCCCGCTGCCCCCACCCGCCTGCAGTGCCTGCACTGGGCCAACTGGGCCGGACTGGGCCAGACCGGGCCGGACTGGGGCCTCCGCTCCGGGGAAACGCGACGAGAAACCGGAAAAAATCCCACCTGGGAAAACAGACAGACAGACAAACCGACCCCACCCCCACTTCAGACAGCGCCCGCTCCTTCTCCCAGCCCCAACTCCCTTGGTTTTCCAGCAGGGATCGCTCCCTGGGCGTGAGGCTGGGGCGGCTCCGGCCGCTCGCCGCTGGTTTTGTATTGCCGACGCTTTTTCCTTGTGTTGTGGATTGTTTTTTTGCCCTTTTTTCCTTATCCCCCCCCCATTTTCCTTCGCTCCCTGAATGGTTAAAGCTTTTTTACCCCTTTTCCAGAAGAGACTTTGGCAGGGCACCTTCCCAGAATTCCAGGCCCCATGGAGGGGAATTTAAGGGCAGCCTGTGCTGATTCCGGGGGGAGTTGGGGTCCCAAACCCCCTTTGGCTCCGATCCCAGGGGTCCCAAACCCCCTTTGGCTCCAATCCCGGGAGTCCCAAACCCCCTCAGCTCCAATCCCAGGGTGTCACAGCACCCCCAGCTCCGATTCCAGGGTGTCACATCCCCCTTGGCTCCAACCCTGGGAGCCATAAATTCCTTTGGCTCCCATCCCAAGGGTCCCAGACCCCCTCAGCTCCAACCCCAGGGTGTCCCAACCCCCAGGGCTCCGCAGAAGGATCCACAAGACGCCGATCCCGACCCCTTTGGATCCAATCCCAGGGTGTTACAACCCCCTTGGCTCTGCAGGATCCAGGAGACGCCAATCCTGACCCCTTGGATCCCATCCCAGGGATCACAAACCCCCTGGGCTCCGCAGAAGGATCCAGGAGACGCTGATCCCGACCCCTCAGATCCCATCCCAGGGCACCACAATGCTGTTGGCTCCGCAGAAGGATCCAGGAGATGCTGATCCCGACCCCTCGGCTCCGATCCCGGGGATCACAAACCCCCTCGGCTCCAATCCCGGTGTGTCCCAACCCCCTGGGCTCCAGAAGGATCCAGGAGACGCCGATCCCAACCCCATGGATCCCATCCCGACCCTGGGGCTCCCTCATCCGGAGCCTGCTGGGTGTCCCTGGACGTCCCTGGGGCCGACGGACGGAGCTGGACCCGCCCCCGAGGTTCCCTCCCTGTGACACAAAGGGACCTCTTGAGGTGCCACCCCGTGGTGTCCCTGTCTCTGTCACCCTCTGGGGCAGGTGGTAAAGCCAAGCTGGGTGGCCTCAGGCCTGGTGAGTCCCTCTGTCCCCAATCCCATCTCCAGTCCCGTCCCAATCCCTGCATGTCCTGGAGCCACTTGCCCATGTCACCTGTGTCCCCTGGGAATGGTGGCAGGTGACACCAGCATCCCCTGTGTCACCTGGGGGGGTCCCTGAATGGCACCAGGGTCTCTGGGGTCCCCTGTGTCACTGGTGTCCCCTGGGGGTGGCACTGGGGCGTCTCTGGTGTCCCCAGGAGGTGTCAGGGACACCCCAAACCAAGGAATGAGCCGTGAGAAAACGCTCGATTTGCACTTAAACCTTCACGGGCCCTCCCCCTCACCTTCATCCTCCTCCTCACCTTCACCCTCCCCTTCACCTTCCTCCTCTTCTTCCTCCTCTTCCTTTTCCTCCTCCTCCTCCTCTTCCTCCTCCCCCTCCCCCCCCCATTCCCGACACTTTTCTTCCCAGCTTTTAGGTTCAATGAGATTTTTAAGGAATTCCCGTTTTTTCCCTGAATTTTTGACCCTTTCCTCAACATTCCCGACTCTCTCGTGCAATTCCCAAACTCTGCCCCCCTGAACTGGGGGCGGGGGGAGAGACCCCCAACCACCCCCTAAAGCAATTGGGGGGATCCCCAAGCAACCCCTGAGTTGGGGGAGGGGAGATCCCACCCCTAATTTAGAGAGAGGGGACCCCCCCACCCACTCCCTAAACGTGGGGGGACCCCACCCCACCCCTGCACTGGGGGTGACCCCTCTCTACCCCCCCTAAAATTCAAAGAGCACTTACTGCAGGGGGGGGGGGTCAGACCCCCCCCAAAAGAGGCAAAAGAACAGTGGGGGTTTTACAATTTTAATTATTTTTTTTTAATTTAGCGGGTTTTTATGTCAAATTTATAATTTTGGGGGTGCTTTCGTTGGTTCGACCTTTTTCAGCTGCCTCCACCCCCTTTCCACTCCCAAAACCC